AGAGTCAGATGAACTGATGTTACTGAGACCCTCAACATTTATGCTGTACGAAGTTCTGAAGTTATGAAGATCAAAAGAATTCAGTAATCTTTTTCGTTTTTATTTTTTTGAGGTGGAGTCTCACTCTGTTGCCTAGGCTAGAGTGCAGTGGTATGATCTTGGCTCACTGCAACCTCCGCCTCCCGGGTTCAAGAGAGTCTCCTGCCTCAGCCTCCTGAGTAGCTGGGATTACAGGCATGTGCCACCATGCCCGGCTAATTTTTTAATTTTTAGTAGAGACGAGGTTTCACCATGTTGGTCAGGCTGGTCTCGAACTCCTGACCTCAGGTGATCTACCCGCCTCAGCCTCCCAAAGTGCTGGGATTACAGGCGTAAGCCACCACGCCCAGCAAGTCAGGCACAATCTTAACATATCATGTCTTTTCTTCATGGCGTGACGATCACTTGAGTCCAGGATAGGTCTTTGATAGGCAAAAGGTGGCTTGTGCACCAGCATCGTTGGCATCATCTGAGAGTTTGTTAGAAATGCAGAATCTCAGGCTCTACCCTATTCTTGAACGGAAATCTGCTTTTTTTCTTCTTTTTTTCTTTTTTTAAGGAGACAGGGTCTTGCCCTGTTGCCCAGGCTGGAATGCAGTGATGCAATCATAGCTCATTGCAGTCTCGAACTCCTGGGCTCAAGTGATTGTTCTGCCTCAGCCTCCCAATTAGCTAGGACTATAGGCATGTGCCATCACACCTGGCTAATTTTTAAATTATAAGTATTTGCTGGTTGAACAAATCAATATACTCTTTTAAATTCAAGGCCAGAGCTGAATAGAAACTCTCTGACAACATCACTGAAGCATTATATGAAGACCTTTTTTTTTTTTTTTTTTTTTTTTTTTGGAGACAAGAGGTCTCTCTCTGTCACCCAGGCTAGAGTGCAGGGCGTGATCTCAGTTCACCACAACCTCTGCCTGCTGAGTTCAAGCGATTCTTCTGCCTCAGCCTCCTGAGTAGCTGGATTACAGGTGTGTGCCACCACACCCAGCGTAATTTTGTTATTTTAATAGAGATGGGGGTTTCTTCATCTTGCCAGGCGGTCTCGAACTCCTGACCTCAGGTGATCCGCCCTCCTCAGCCCCCAAAGTGCTGGGATCACAGGCATGAGCCCACCAGGCCCAGCCTGATGAAGACATTAACATGGAAATATATTAACATAGAACTTGAATACAAAATTTCCCCCCTTCCCTGAAATCCAACAGTGTCAAAATGTTTCAGATTTTATAAATCACACCCCTCATGATACACCAAGGGTGCTGAATGAACACATTGAAAACACACTTGCTGTAAGGTTGGAAGGAGTCCTGGGTCATTCTCTCCCAGCTTGATGAAGTGTGGGGTCACAGTTGTGTGATGGAACAAACCCTTTATTGGATTCCTGATCTGATGAAGCCCAGTAATATAGTGGTAGTTAGCCATGGGCTTAAAGTAGGTTAAAATCACGATTTGTGTAGGATTCTATCGCTAAGTCCCTTTTTTAAAAATCTTTAAATCTAGAATTGAAGGTATTTTTTTAAAGTAATATTATTTTGAGGCATGGGGATGATTTCACAGCACCTTCAAGTGCCTAATTGGTGAGCCCATTTCCGGACGTTCCCAGGCCCTGTGGTCGGTCTTTCAGATTTTGAGGACTTGTAATTGATTTGTTAGCAAACAACTGCTTTTCTGGCTCTGAGGTGAAGACCTGGGAAAATGGATCAAATTCTAAACCAAACATTCAGGACGACCCTTTTTCCTCATGGTTGAAATAGTATTCAATTACATCTATTCCTACGAAGTCAGCAACTAGGTTTCTTATCAGTGAACTATCAAATAGCACCTACATTGTTAGAAAGATGTTTGGAAGAAAAGAACAACAAAGGGGGAAGGTCCTACCAACCCAGCTTGCTGGTCCATAACCCTGTTTTCAAACTAATGCTCAAGTGGAAAGGCGACGATAATTCGCTTTGAGTTCCTTCCGCGATCTTAGGGTCCAGCAAACTGCATTGTATCCACCCCCACTTCCTACTGTAACCAAGACCAGTTGGGTTTTCCTCCCTGACTCCGCGAGGTTGCATGTCATGAAGGCACTCCGCCGCCGCCGCTTGCCCGTAACTCCGGCCCAGGGTGCGCTACGGTCGCCATCCCACCTGCTAGCGCCCTCAGCGGCAACCCCTCCTCAGCGCCAAAGATCATCAAAAAGAGGATCCTTGGGCAGCGTAGGCCATCGAGCGGACGACCGACCAGCCTCAACAAGGTTATCAGTGAGCTGAATAGACAAAAGTCATTTGAGACGTCCATTACCCATGGATATTGGCAGGTTGCCAGTGTACCTGCCGGTGGGGCGTGGCTGTCTCTGCTGCCCCGATGGCACTTTGCAGCTCCTGTGCTGGTTCCACCCCCGCTGCAGCAAGCAGCGGAGAAGAGGAGGAGGAGGAGGAGGTGTCCAAAGAGTCACGTACAATGACATTGGGGATTGGGTCCCTTTATTAAATTCCTGCTCTCCTCTGCATAGATAATAGCCTTTTTACCATCCTAAAAACAAAAAACAAACCAAAAACAAGTTGGTTCCCAACAGTAGAATGAGGGCAGGATGAGTCGTCCCAAAAAGACACCTGGGAAAAGACTTACTACCTAGCATGCGTATCTAAGATGTAAACAAGTAGGCAAAATACATTTCTATTGCTTTTGGTCAATTAGGATTGTGCTCTAGCTGATTCATAATTAAATTAGTCATCTTAAATAACTTTCCAAATATTTCCGAATGTCATTATCTGTGCTCAACAGGCACATTTGTCGTATTTTAAACGTGTACAACTAGATGATTTTATATGCTAATTTGTTAGTAATAATCACTACAATCATCTAAGTAACTATTCATCCACTTCCCATAGCTACTGTTGTGCTGTGTGTGGTTGTGTGTGTGTGTGCC